GKTTTTTTACAAGTGTCCCCTCGGACCAATTTTTATTCTTTGAAATATCTCAGACGCGGCGTGAGAAGACGCCAGTTCTTTAATTTGTTGATGTATTGAATAGGGCATRTGCAAATGGGAATAAAACTAAATCCAGGAATAGCTAATATCCACTCATTTATATAAACAAATATATAAGAATAGTATGCCAAGGATAACATATACTAATGAATATCTCTGAGATATTCGGTGGGGCATTGCCAACTCTGAAGATATAAAGAAGCTTCACTAATTGCTAACTAATTTTATATATATTCGAAATTCTCTCAAAAACCCGAAGAAGAGGGGTGTCAAGTGAAATTGTGTGTGTGATCGTCATTTGGAGCGAATGTAGATTTCATCCCGCCTTTGWTATAGAACCATTTCGCGCATAGAATAAACGAATGGAATTGCGAATAAAGCTAGGTGGGTAGGTAGAGTGGCTGTCTGACGACGCACCTTACTATATTTGTCTTTTTCTGAACTACCCCGTGCTTCTGATGAAGTTCATCAAAGAAAGAAGCTTTATGTTAGCAACTTCAAAAACGTCGTTTAAAAACCCTCGATCGATAGTTGCGATTACGTTTCTGTACAGAGCTTTGCATTCGCATGGGAAATAGTTTACGGTCCCTTCTTCTTCTACCTCCATACATCCGTAGTCTGCTGGAATTTCTGCCTGTTGGCATCCTTACTACAGTTTTTATACCAATGGTTTTGAATTTTAATAGTGAGAGAGGGAGGCCCGTGTTTCATTCATGCCACGTTGGCCTATTTGTTTAGTAATTCTGGGATTGACTCCACCAAAACTCGGCTACAGTTGCAACAAGTTCGTCGACTATACTATTTATCTACAAGTGGCCAGAGACATGGAGTCTAATTGCAGGGTGGTGCTTGTTCTAGCTAGTTCATTTTCTTCGCAGTTACCAATGATATAATTTTCCCCTGGAACGCAGTGCAGGTTTATTGTAAAGTTTGACTTTAGATCCACTAAGAGACTAAGACATTATTTCGCTATGTTTTACGAAACCCTAAGAGACCTCAACGCCACTTGGCTRTCAGTATATATAARTAYAAATATACTCTTAGCACACTMCGTGTCACAACAACAGGACTTTCWTTGATTGCTGTGATCTTCGCTTGGAAGACATTAAGATGTTTGGTAAACGGAAGGCAATTTAAGTATTTATCTAGTTTGGACTCGTCTGTATAGGTTTTTATCCCTGCGTCCCTGTCTTCTTTGGAGGACATAATGTAGTTTTAGTTCTTTTAGATTTCAAAAATCAGGAATAGTGGGTCGAAACGAAAACTAAGTATTATATAAGGCCCCATATTGTAGGATTCCCTCAGTCTAAGAGCCGACTTCACTGCCATTTGCTTATAGAAGAAGTCTTTTGCCAGCAAATGTAAAATGACGTTTTGTACATAAGCCGTTCCACGTATTTCTTTTCCATTAATAGCCACCATACTAGTATCGTATCGGCCTAATTACTACTGTGTAGAGCCAAGAAGCTACCCCAGACATTACTGCCGTTATGGGCACCGCCATCCTTTTGCAGATGCAAAGAGCTATAGCTGTTTTTTTTTTTTACCTCAAATACTAAGTTTAGTTTCCACGAAAGTTTCCTGTCCAAACCTAGTCCTTTGTATAACCTGGTACCATTTAACAATGGCGGCATGACTTCTGGAGTACTGGATAGCTTTATCAGCATGCATTTAAGTTTAGTCCATACGATACACCCCAATGGGTTATGTCATTTAATAATATTTGCTAACCGTATGCAAGGAGTTTTAGAAAACTTCTTCTAACCACCACATCGTYAGCGCAGGCTACAACATGTACCCCATTATTTTCTAGAGTTAACAGCAACTAATTTATTGCTAAAATAGAGAAGTGGAGATAACATGCCTCCTTGAGTTCTCATTTGGACAGATCTGCTCATCGTTGAAGCTTCCACCATTGAAATTATTGATTTGCTCTTGCGCTTCTGTTCAATTAGTTTTCTGAGGGATTTATAGATGTTCAAGTCTTTAAGCACGCTCAGTATAACAGCACACTGGATGTTAGTAACTACTTGGGTGTGTTCTTTAACCTCCAGATGTATTTCAATCCTTGCTACCACTGAGCTTTTTGCCGTATCTGTGGATTTTCTTTAAAATACGCATGCTGTGAAAGAACTAATTAACCTGGGTTTAAGCTGCTGGAATAAAGCTTTGTTGAATTTTATGAAACCTATTAAGTTTATCCCAATCAATTATAAACATTTTATAATATTTGTTTTTGCGTATGTGTGGTAATTTTTACGACAAAGAACTATAATGTTACATATATATAACTAGACATTTTAAATGGAAAGCTTTAACAGTGCAATTTTCTGCTTACAGATCAACCAACGGCTCATCTCAAAATGGGATCTTCACTAAATCCAGACGATATAAAAGAGGGCGATGACGTTTATTTTGAATGTGTTATACAATCGAATCCCAAGCCCTACAAAATGTCATGGTTTCATAACGTAAGTGCAGTCCAAAAGTTGTAGGGACACAAGTTCAGAAATATTTGAATATGAGTATCAAACATACTTACTTGCGAACGAGATTCCTGTCCACTCTTCCAACTACCACGGCGCATTAAGCCATACAAGCATTTAAATGGAATGTGCGCCACACATTAGTGCAAATTTGTTGCACATGGAAACTTTTGAGTACAGAAAGTGTCACTGAAAAACAAACCTCATGTTGCTAACTGCACTCATATATACATATATGTCTTGTACTATTACAGCCATCATGGTGGTAACACCATATCTCACTGTGTGCCGAGGGGGTTTCGCAGAGGGTTTTACTACTCATGCTTTTCATATTAACTGTTCAACTCGATTTGGAACGCGAYGTTCTGCTCGATTTTTCATAGAATTATAGGACAGCATGTAATATGGTTTAAATTTAGGTATACATAATTTTTGGCATTMAAGTATGCCTAGGCATTAACTTGCAAACTTGAAATATCTATAAACATTAGTCCCTTTTTCCATCAACACCTTTTCGTTGCGTAGCTTTTATTTCTGATGAATTTCACAATCAGATTGSATATGTTATACATTTTTCAATTTTAAGCGTTACTTAACCAATTCTAAGACACGTTTTTCAATTCTGCATTATAAATTTATCTTTAATTACGCGCAGGAATGTCCAATTATTCTATTATATACTTTATAGTTTTCTTTTTTAACAGTACTGACCATAAGCTCACTAGAGAGACCCGATCTTTTTCGGAATAAAGACTGAATCATAATTTATTAAAGCAAGTTTTTCATATACAAAAATATGAATGAAATCTGAAACATCTTCTATGTTCAACTGAATATGGTGTAGGCGGCATTTTTGCTGATAATTCAACGAAAACTTCACATATAGTAATTCATATAATGGCAATTTACTCCGCCTTAAAGTTCAGATGGTCATGGCACTTTCGCCAAGCAGTGCTCTTAAGTTGACGCTCTCTGCTCTTCACATRTCATTTTCATTGTTTGCTGCCGGCATTCTTAGTGGCGTTGATGCTTTCATTTCATCGTTTGCTCAACGTTACTTCGCGCAGACTTAAGAATATTGTACAATGTACTTAAATACGTTTTTTCACTTATCTCGTATTCTTTTYATTCTCTTTCCGATCCTTTTACGCAACACTGTGCTTTTCCGGCACCCTCACCGAACGGCGAAAAACAACGACAATAACAATTTATCATTGGCTCATACGGATGCATCATTGCACTTTAGGGCAAGGAACTGCATCACAACATCTCAGCTGGCATTATCCTTTCGGATCAATCACTCGTGCTGCAGAGTGTCTCACGTGCATCCGCTGGTGATTACACGTGTTTGGCTGTAAACTCGGAGGGAAGGGGCGCCAGTAATCCGGTTTCATTGCATATACGCTGTAAGTACCGAGTGAAAACAATTTGATTTCATCATTGCTGATTACTTTCTGATGTTATTACATACATATGTATGATTTATAGTGAGCGTGAGTGCGAGAGTGAGTGAGCGCATGTGTTTATACATTTTAAGCACGTCGACACTTACATGCGGACATACTAACGAACATGTTTTATAATAGGTATTCACGTATGTGAGTCAGTACTGAGCTAACGAATGCTCGTCAATAACGTTATTTACAAAGCATTTTGCGTTAGAAAATCCTATTAACGGAATAATAGTAGTTCATGGTAATTTGCTAAGCGCTGTGGCGGAGCACACTGAACTACTCAAAAGGATTTTTGCAAGCAAATGTTTGACTCGTCGCAAATAGAGAAGCATGTCGCTTCTATTAATATTAATGGAAAACCTAGCGTTGACACGAAAAGTCAAAAATCTTGAAAAAAATTCAACCCAGTGCGAGAGAAGACCTATCAAGTATGGAAGCAAAACAGACGCGAACGAAATAGAGCTCAATCTTTTCGAAACTCAGGACTTCAAAATTATTGATGCTCAATATTTAAAGCCTATATTTTAAATTGACCTGGCTAAAGAGTTGCAATCGACAAGATTTAAGAACGCACTTAAACACTTATGTAAGTACATTAACACACTTAAGTAAAAAGTTTCTAAGCGCTTTTATGCATTAAAAAGCTTTGCAGCGAACGCAAAGTGTCTCAAAAGTTGTTGTACCCAAAACAAAATAAAAAGTAGTCCTTTTCGTCCAGCCGCTGCTGTCCAGCTTGCCCCATACGCAGTTATATGGGCATGCAAATTTTTCAACAAAAAAACAATAAAAAAAAGTCAGGGGTGCAGTAGCAAAGGCCTTAGGGATCAGAGGAGAACCCTCAACTCGATTAATCCCACCGAAGAAAGCTCACGAAAAGAAAACAAATGAAAGCGAATAATGCAGTGAATGAACGAACCAGTCGACGCACTGGCGAACCACTGATTCACACGCGTACAGCCATCCGCACATTTCGCTAAAAACTGACGACGGAGTCGGCAAAATGAAATGAAGTGTAACTGCCAACAGTTAAAGCGTCGCGTAGTTGCTGCCCGAGCGTTGAGTTAAGTTGAAAGGAAAATAACTCAAGAACAGTAAAACGAAAGCATCGCGACTTAGCGTTGAAAGGCAGGCGCTTCGGCGGRCGGCAAGGCAACCATTTTAGAGTAATGAATATTTTTAGAGACTTACAGGCGGTAGTAAGTCGCGCCGCAGACGCCAAAAGAGGCGAGATGGGCAGCGGCAAAGGATAGCAGAGATARAGGCGTCTCAAAGTTTGTCACCCGGCTTTGAGCGGCACTATTTTGCATTCGTAAAAGGCATTTAGTRCGAAAATCAAAACAATAAAAAATCCGTTGTAAAGTGAAAAAACGCGTTCGCTCGCCTGCAATTACACACGGCCGGGCAAGCGAGTATTTCGCCGGCGCCACCATCCCATGGCGAATATAAGGAAAAGTGGAAAGAAAGGATGGCAGCGCGCAGACAAAATGCAGATCAAGCGTAAAACTTCTGTTAGATTTTTCATTTTCATGGAGATTTCTTTCTGGCTTCTAATTCGCTTATAAAGTGGAATAAACAAAAGTAATCAAATATATAAAACTGAAAAGTGGCACAACAGCGCGGGTGCCCAGTCAAAGACTTCAATAAGATTACGAAGACGTAAAATAATAAAAACAGTAAGAACATAATTCGCTAAGCCGACACTGCAGACAGGGGGTGCCGAGTTTCGGCGAAGCTTTTCAATCGCTTGGCAACTTCAGCAGCCACTCTGACACTTTAAGAACGAACGGATAAATGTATAAAAGGATTTTCGACTAGAATTTYGGATTGCATATTGTGGATCAAAAGGCGGCGGGGTGTCCGTAATGAATGCGCGGCTGTCGCTCACTTATCGCCCCAGCGTTCGCAAGTTTTTTAAAAACCTAGCAAATATACCATATGCTKAGTGATACAAGGGTTGCCTTTTATATTTCGGTATTAGGGAACAAAAACTAATATTAATCATCGATAATCTATACAATTTTGCATGCGGTTGCACCAATGTTCGAATTACGTTTGCCTCACTGATTGAGATATTTTCAAAACCTCCATTCGATGAGAAATCAGGACTTTACGGTGGATGACTCATCCAATTGATGTTTTGAGTACTCAAACAGTTATTTCAGACAATCAATGTTCCAATTGTCGTGGTGAAGAGTGATCCATCTTCTGTGTTGGGTTTCCTGATTTTCGAAAGACAACTGGACAACAATTGTATATCACTGAGAACTTACTGTTCTGCGTTGTTTTTTTGGTATGATTGAGTCATGTCCAGTTTCTCCAGAAAACAAGGAACCAATTGCTCGAAATGCTTCGTGTGCAAACAACCTTTTTGGATTCGGCTCATCTGGAAGCAGCTATACAGCCGACTGCTGTTCACTTTGGTTTAGCATCTATCACGCTGTCATCGACATATTTCGAAGCGGCGCTGTAGTACTTTTCTAAAAATTCCCCCCAACAATGGACGCGAACTTTGTTTTGGYGGAACGCGAACATATTTTTTCATAATCAAATATTCATGCAACACTGAGATTATGCTGACACGACCAATCCCTATAGTTGCCTCAATGTCACGAAAAGTCACATGGTAATCTTGCACTATCAATAGTTTCCGGAGCTACAATTGATATTGGACGACCTTTATGAAATTCGTCTTGGAATTTATACGAATTGAGGTCGCATTCACCATACCATCTTCGAAAGAGCTTCATCGCCAAAAATATAATTAAGTTCATTGATGCACTGTTGCATGGAGTTAATTGGAGATGAATATTTAAAGTTACTGTAAAAGAACTAAATAATGTTGGTATATCACCACTGAGGTTACCAAATACCGAAGCTTCTTACTTCTGTATGTACATATGTGAAGAACGAGAAAATTATAACCTAAGACTTATTTGCAGAGCAAAGAAACAACAGCGCCGGCACTCTTTGAATCGCGGGACTAAAAAGTGAAAAAACTGTAAATAAGACGGTCGCTATAAAAGAAGAGAACATAACAAATTTTTGGAACACAAAAAATTTATATTAAAGATATTTATATTGAAGACAGCTTTAAATACGCTATCCAATTTTTTTTTATTTAATACTGGTCTTCTTCAAAGGTTGTGGGCAACAAAAATGTAAGAATAAGTTAATCCCTTCTGGGTTCCATGTTTTGGAAATGTATTTGGTTAGAGTCTTCGCTGGCACTGYGACAGTAAAAGACACTAGGCACTCACAGAGACAAAAAGCGTCAAGTTTAATTCGCATTAAAATATTTATAACGTACTTAGAAACTTTAAAGGCGAATTAAAACCCAGCGCCAGATTCTGCGTATATAAATAATTGCATTTTCAGCAACGCCGGAAGGCAACAACAGCGGCTAAGATAAATAAACAAAATCCACAAACTGCAAGAGAAGAAAAGAAAAATGACAAAATTAAGTGCCGAGCGAAAAATTGCGCTGAATTCCTTCAGCAACAAAACAGCTCAACGAATGCGGCACCTTCCCCTCGGACACGTTCTGCTGCAGCAAGACTTTGTAGCAGTGTGTGTTCACTTGTTTTTGCTGTGGCAGCTGCCCGTTGCCTTTCACATGCTGACTTGATACTTAATTGCAATTTCAAGCCAACGCGGCGACTTTCAGGCTAATTACACTCGCAGAAACAAAAAATAGAAATGGAAATAAAAAATCCACAGGATAGCGAGAGAACAGCGAAAGCATGGCGTAAGCGTAAAAATGGCAACCAATGGCGCACATACAAAAAGCCAAAAACAACAGCTTTTAAGGGAAGTGCAGGCAGGTTGCAAACGAACATTTGCAGTTGGTGAGGAGTTCTAGGGTGCAGGAAGCGCCAAACGCTGCCGAGTAGATGGTGGAGCGCGTTACAAGGGTCTTTCGCACGCGGCACTGCATTCATTTCATTATGCGAAGCGTTGGGCATCCGCAAGCAGCAATTCTGTTTCTTACACTTAAGTTTTTTCAGCTCGCTGGTACTTGCCGCACACACTGCAAGGCTTGTCGAAGTAAACAAAAGATCAGCGGCCCATCCCACGCAATAACCTCTGTAAGGGCGCAAGCACGATTCAACTCACTCGGTTTTACATATAAATATGCTTTTATGCTTCACTGTGTATTCATTTTCGAACTTTCTTTTTCAACATTTGTCTGGTACTTTTTTCTTGCTTGCAGTTGCACCCACTTGTGCCACCGATCATGAAGAGCTGCTGGGCGCCCTAAAGCACGAAACACTGCTGCTAAAATGTGAAGTGGACTCATCACCGCCAGCGGAGGCATTTACATGGACATTTAACTCGTCCGGCGAACAAACAGAATTGCCCGCCCGACTGCACTCAACGGAGGTAATTATCCCACACATTAATATGCACCTACATACACACACACACAGAATAAGTAGAGTGAGAGTGCCGGTAGCCGTGCAATGAGGGCGCATTGAGGCTCCGCTATTGAACTCGACCTATTCAGTGGGTGTCAGTYCTTCGCACATTTATACTGGACTTACACACATACTTTTGTAMTTACAAAACTCTCGTGACTCGTTGTTCTCCATTGGGCTGTCATGGATCCGCTTGTCTTRCTGAAAGCTGGGTGGGGCGCTTTGGATCTCCCGAGCATGGTCGCTTTTCATTTCTCCCCACTTTTAATTCACTTGACTATGATTCGCAGTGCTTTAATTTTTTGTTTTTGTTTTTGTTAGTTAACCTTCTCACTTATGTGTTTCGCTTTCTCTCCAAGTTACTCTGAGTAACTAATGAACATTGGGCGTGTCAAATGGCACAAATTGATAGCTGTAGCAAATAAACCAGAAATCCTGAAACCTCACAAACTTCACTAATGAATAAATTACATCCCACTTTTCGTTACTTCTTCTATTTCTGCAAACATTCGTAATAAAAGTGTTCTTACAGGGGTTTACTGTTTTAAAATTAAATGAAAGGATTTTTGGAAGAAATTTTTAAATATTTCCGTTSTATCTTACTTCAAAATCTGAAGACATAAAACTATCATAAAAYTCGTCRTAAAATAATCTTTACATTAATAAATMCAGTAAGGCAACTTTCAGTTCTCGYAACGCTTTATTACTGTAAAAACCCTTAATAGCAATATCGAGAATCGATTTTTCATACAGCGTAGTGATGCAAACACATCCGAATCGAGGAACCTTAAGAGGAATGAYGTACTCGTCTGTTGCAAATAGGGTAAAAGCGAACCTCATAGCGCTTCGGCAGTTATTGTATCAGGCAATGCGACTGAGTAGCATTTACCTAACCTCATCTGAAGTTCTAATCCATTACAGCAAGTTTAAGATTTAGAGCAAAGAGCAAGCGATTATCATACTGAAATAATATATCTCTTGCAATCTGTTTTCCTAGACTGGCATGTCGCGACTGAATTACACTCCAGCAACCGACCTCGATTATGGCACAATATCTTGCTGGGGGCGAAACTCTATTGGCCAGCAAAAGAACCCCTGCATTTTTCAAATCGTCGCTGCAGGTGAGTAAATTCTTAAAATATTGTCAAAAAATTTATAGTATTACTATTATTATAATTGTAAACAAGCTATTATTTCATATTATATATGCACAGCTCTGTTCATAATTCCAATTAACCGAACCAGAGAATTATTSACTATCATAACTTAAAATGTATCAATTGTGTCAGTCTCTCACAGAAGTGGAGACCTCAAAGGCATCACCTTATTTTACTCTTTGTTATTCTCTTTACAGGCCGTCCATTTCCGTTGCAGAATTGCACAGTCACGAATCAATCCACCGATTCACTGCAAGTTGATTGTCTGGAGGGCTTCGACGGTGGGCTACCTCAAGGCTTCATTTTAGAATTAGTGGAGTTGAATAATTTGCGTCTAGCACGGAATTTAAGTTTGTCGGTAAGTRTTGGAAATATACAKAATAATATATTTAATCWCATTAAAGAATAATTAGAAATATGMCAAGTGAAGACGCAAAGCCTCCGCAATTAGAATAACATGTGTATGTATGTATGTTACACTGTAGGGTATAGGCAAATGCTAGATTACCCAAAATCATAATTTAAATTAATTTGCACTCAAGACTCGAGGGATTAGTTTAAAATGAGGTTTGGTCCACTTTTTCGGCGGAAGTGACCTTGAGCAAAGAATTAAGAGCTTTTGTAAACTCCAAGCTCTTTAGTATTTTTTCTCCCACTTATAGGCTTCTAACTGAAGACAAGCACACAAATATTGCCAAAATTTTCTAACGAGAAATGAGTTGGAGTCCACGCCAAGCAGCCTTTTTATTTGTACTGCTTATAAAGCTGAGGATCTTATACTTTTCTTATAAAGGAAAGGGTAGTTCAATAGTATATTAAAAGAACATCAGATGATGAGATATAAAGGGTGTTCGGTAAACAAATTTGCCAATTTTGCGTAGTGTTYCCTCAACGGTGATCTCTATGAGACAGATGTTTCTCCCTCATTATTTTTAATTTTGTTATATGAACTTATTAAAGAAAGTATTTGATCACATTCATATTTTGCAACTAAAATGTTCACTTAYGTGTTATTTTGCAAACGCCTCTAATTTTGCGAACATTCCGCGAAAAAATGCTAAAAAATATATGGCTGAAAAGTCGCCAAGTGGCGCAAGGAAAATATTTTCTCCAACACACTTACACGGTGTGGACTTAACCTGTGCTCACCAATTTATTCGAATGTTTTCTTGTACGAGTATATACACAGAATGATATATGTATGTATAAACACACGTATAGGGTGTGAGTACATAAAGCCCTGCAGCAACTTTTAATGTTAACTTTTGAATTTTTACCCCGACTGCCGCTCTGCCCGCCATCGAGCTCACCTTAGTTGTAGAAATTCTCTTGTCAACTTGAGTTGTTGTATTTCCGTCTAGGTTAAAAATTTCTGCGAAGTTTTGTGCTGCTTTGTAATTTGTTGCTCACGAAAACTTTCCTGTCGAAAGGCTGAAATGTTTCATCTCGCCTTCCTCGGCAATACTCTTATGACCTGAATTATTTCAAAGAATTGTTCCTAAGTATTGGCTTAAAATATCATAAATGCTAACTCTTCGGTTCATTACAACGCCTGTGGAAAATTTTGCGAAAAATTCGTGGTGATGTTTTCGTTGTTGTATGTGTTCGTGCAATCGTTTAAAATACTTCAACTTTGGCCCACAAATCGTCACACTAAATTTGTAATTTTAAAAAAACTTCATTGAAATCATTAGTTATTTAGCTCCGAAAATGGAATGAGATGTGCTGACTGACTACGTTCACTAGAAAAATAAGTCTTCTGAAACCAAGTATTTTAGTCGATTTCAGCATATAGTCTGACAGCAAAAAAGAATTCCATTGTAAAAATTTACWTCTTCGTGCTTCAGGATTTAAGTCATTGGCATTCCTCTTTTTTGAAATATAAGTATTAAGKTACTACTTCTGAATTTATCTTGTTTTCTCTCCCACAGCATCCGCCAGTGAGTTTTCTCATCGAAAATCTCGATCCGACAGCAACATATCGAATGATCATTTTCGCCATGAATGCCAAGGGACGTTCGGAGCCAACCATAATTGACGACATAAACTTCAAAGGCGTGGCCAAATTTACAGGTTAGTTAAATGGTATAAAATAGTTACAGCGTTAAGTGAAAATAAATAACTGCACAAATTTCGACAATCAATCCTGCGAATTCTTCGGGTAAGTCATGCTATGTATGTRTGTAAGCAGAAAGGTGAGTGTGTCGTCGAGTCTGCAGGTGGATTGCTAAGAGACTTTTTTGCACTTTGCGGGCTTAGAACTTTCCTAATCTAAATAAATCGCCATCAACRTTCGTTATATGCTAAAATGCTGTTTTTGTAGTCGTCGTCGCAGCATAATGCGTTACGTGCAACGTGCCTTTGCAACAGCAATGCATTCACCTGAGAAATGTTGATTTCATTCATTCATTCTCTCTCACGCTTGACACTTTGCAAAATAGMAATTCATGAGACCCACACGCCTTGCGCAGGAACTGTGGGCATATGCGGTAGCTGGTGGCATTTGTCGCAATGCATTATCCGTTTCAAATTCTCGAAACGAAAAGACGTGCGGAGTAGTTTTACAGGGTTGCGCCCTTYGCCGTCGATTGTTCACATTGCGAATGGAGTATCGCAAAAGAATGTAGATCAATTCACCCTGCATGGCTATAACGCTCCCGTTGTCTTGATAGAGTTAGCGTTTTTATGAAAGGTAAGATTTTTATAATTAAATCAGCATCCTCAAATTCCTCCTCAAACTGTAAAATTTAGTTAGGGATCAATTCAAGTGGGTCAGCTGCTCCCCTGCAATTAAAGAGAGGCAAAAAGAATGTCACGCTCTTGAAATGAAGCACCCTTTACAACTTTCTACGGCTATCTATCTGAAGTCGTCATCCCTCACTGCTCTTTTACATAACGCAATTTTTATTGATATTTCCGCGCTCGTAAAACATCTTACGCACCATTAGAGCATTTGCGCGAATGCTCTGAGTTGAGCTGCCACCAGCTGGCGCATTCTTTTTGCACTTAAAGCAATTTTTTTGTTATTGTAAGATAGTGTTAGACGGAATGCTGCGCTACTTAGAAGAATGCATTTACACGCAGACGTTGTTTTATCATTCGCCTTTCAACATTTAGAGTAACCCTTAATGATAGGCAAAATCCTTTCTGAATACATGCTATATCAGCAATTAAATATTACTCATAGTTATTCTTGTTTATTAGTAATCTTAGAAATCACAAAAAATACTTACATACTACTACATTTTTTTTTTTCAAAATTTAAATAGTTTGATGAAAAATTCTAAAATTATTACTGGGATAAGAAATTTCATACTTCCTCACCCACTTTTTCTCTTATTCATGCGCAAATTTACTATTTATGTTTTACGTCACTTGCAGTTCCTGCAACTTTTGCACTTCGGTTTCAATCTATTTCAAAACAGCTTTTCAAAGATGTTGTCAACAACGACTTTTCGCTTATCCTTTGCGTTCACCGCTCGCAAGTTCTTTCCTATTTTGCGTTTTGTTGGAAAAAGWATGCGAAAGTGTGTGTGTCTGTGTTACTTTGGTTTCCTCGAAATATTGAAAAGAACTGTGTGCTAACAACGCTGGTGGGATTAAGCAATTTCACYGCAGAAAGGGAGCAGGTACATAAATATTAATGCACAACTGAGGGGCAATGAGTTTAAAATTTTGTTCTGTTCTTTTTGTCATTCTCCGAAAATTCTGTACGCATTTTAGAGGCTTCCAGTGATTAGTTCAACCAGTTACCTCATATCGTTTACTTCCTAAAAGTGGAATTGCTTGGCAAATTAAGTTAGAATTTACCATACAACCATGGGTTCCCTACCCTAAACTAACTGAATTAACCACCATCTCAATCGATTTTGGTGATACGACAGCTGACTTTAGCAAAATTGTGACTTTCCAGGTAACTCCAATGAACCGATACGTTTGTTATTGCTACATTTAATATTTGGGCGTACACCGTTAGCTTTTGAGGCATCTTAAAATTCTACATGCGATAGCAAATCGTATAGGTATTATGATAGCTGCGGTGTCCTCACTCTTTTATTGGATTAAAGTTACTCGCTAAAAGTTTGTTCTATTTCCTCACTTCTGTTTTCTTTTGTTTGTGTTSCTTTCCAAGCCAACGAACCGCTGTGGCCTGAATGCAGTTCGCTGTGAGAACAAATACTACACTGTATGTATGTGTGTGCGTGTGTATGTGCTTTCAGTTAGTGTGACTCCTTGCACAGCGAGTGCGATTCCGTATGAAAAGTTGCGATTATTTAATTGTTTGTTTGCTCCTTTTTTGTTTTTCTACTGATATTGCCGCGATATGCCACATTGTTTTCATTCATGCCACGCACACACATACACAGCACATCATTGTGGTGGCAACTCATTATGCATGCGAGTGAAACTTCTATAAATGTATGAATATGCACCAATTTTCACCGAAAGGTGCAATTATATCTCCTTCAAAATATCGTTCCAGCGCGTTGCACAAATTGTGGCGCGCCACTTTATTATTATCCTCACCAACCGCAACACCGCACATTTATCAGATAATGGAACGTATGCACGTGTGTGTGTGTGTGTGCCGCAGTCGTACTGTGCTAACCTTTGATTTTTCGAAAGTATTTACCAGAAAGTTTTGTGTGGTGTTAATGCGTGAGGCAGCTGGCAGTAAATGGTCTAAATAGGTCGACTGTAATGCGCAAACTTTCATGCAGCAAAGTTATATAGCGTAGTTACCGTTATTGTGATTGCACAAAACGCTTATCAAGACACATAAACCACCGACTCAAGTATGGGTGCAGCACACATTGCAGGTGCTTTCATATCGCTGGTATAAAATATATTTATTTGTTTCGAACACTTGGCTCCAATAAGCCTTATTGTTAATGCGTATTATATTTGTTTTCATTTCAGGTGCATCGAATGGCTTAACGGTACCCCTTTCACCATTTTTGGCTGGCCTAACACTCTTCTGTGCGCTGCTCTTCGCCATATCCTGCATTGCACTGGCGGCAATTTACAGGCGGTTCTCGAACAGGTAAGTGCCACGAGCACCGAAAGCATTGAAGAGTGTCTTTTTCTGTCTATTTATCTTGAAATTGTATTCCAATCGCAGAAAAGATTTTCAAATTTGAAAGTTTTGAGTTGTTACGGGTGATCCATTTCGGTGTTTCCAACCTTTTTAAAGAAAAACCGCAGAAACTTCAAATTTAATGGGGAATGTTCACTATCATTCGAAAGAATATCCTTTGGCATTTATTCTTTGAACAGATGATTCTACATTTCAGATGGTCTATCCGTTGAGTCCAATTTTTCGTTCTCCTTGATCTTCTTGGTAATTATCAAGAGCCCATAGAGCGAAGCGATGTCGCTTGAGAAGGTCAAACGGCTTCAGTTCTTACACAAGCTGTATTTTGTACGCTTCCAATTTAAGATCAGTCCAGGTTGCTCCGAACGACGTCGAATCGACTCTCCACGGTCTTCGTGTATACTCTCAAGTCGGTCGAGTATTATCCAATAGTGAATCTTRAGTCTCAAGACCGATTATGTTCACCGTAATTTGAAGGAAGTGCGCGAAACAAATACTTTAGAGAACGTGAGCTTTCTTAATAAAGTTCAATATTATCCAACAATGAAAGATTACACTTTTCTTTACTTGGATCACCCGTTATTATATAAGTCAATTGAATATTAAATAATTATTGTACTATAATTAGAAAACGTTAAACATTTAGGTAAATAATTTCAGTCAGGACCTCTAATATCTATAGAAATATATTGACAACTTCTGAAAATGATCATGCCACATTGATATAACTATAACCAAAGTAAGATATGAGATGTTTAAGTTTAGTTCTTCTAATCCATGCTTTACCGCAGAACAATAGCTTTTTTGACATTTTGGCTCTAGATATCAATATCTTTTGAACTGAATTTTTGGTAGCTTAAATCTTCTCAATTGGAAACCAACATTTCGCACTTTACTGACAATATCCGCTCAACTATGCTGAAAAAATTGGGAAAGTTAAACTATAAATACCATAAAACTAAAACAATTAAGCACTTCACACTCATCTAAAATATATGGTYGGAGCAATTTGAGAATAGGCATAAAAAATATAACTTGCTAAATATATCTCCAAAAATCTCCACCAAAATTAAGATTTAGTTCAACCACACTCTCATTATTTCACGGAGCCCACAGCTACGTCCAGCCCTACATTTGGCTTAGCTCTTGGGAGCGTTTAATATGTATGTAAAAGATTCTCTTATATTCCCTTGACAACGTCTCTGTCTGTCATCGCATTTTACTGGTGGAATATCAATTTCTTTGCTTCAATTCATTTTGAATTTAAATTCCTTATAAAAATATACATATTTTGCTCTTTTTTTCCTCCAATGGCGGAAAATCATCAGTGACCATTATCAAATTATCGTACACCATTTACCATTTGCCTCATATTCCGTTGCGGTTTACATTAAACATGTTTATTTATATGCTGACATTTATCACTTTCTTGCGACTTACATTCCAGGCAAAATGATGGTAATTTGAAACCAACGAAGCACACSCAACTTTCAATACCCCCTGATTGTCAGCTAGATCCATTACAACCGAACAACCACCATCACCAACATCTGCAGCATAATCACGAGCAAAGCAATCACCAGGCCCATCACAGTCTACTCCAGCCGAATGTCARCGACGGTGCCAATGGCGGCGGTGGCACCTCACCCTCTGTCGGCGGTGTCATGGGTGGTGCTGGAGGTGGCGTCATGGGTGGCTTGATTGGCATCGATTCGTCCACGTTGCGGTCAACGGCAACCAGCCATCATCGCCAAAGTCCACTGGTGATGGGCGATGCGTTGGAAGGTGATGACACGGATCCAGATGTTATACCCAATCAATATGGTAAGTGTTATGATGTTACGCTAATATATAAATAATGCGCCACTTGCCAATGAGCGAACGGAAAACAGTTATTAATTTTCAAATTTTTATGATACACTGAAAAAAATATTTGTATATAATCAGGCAACTTATAAATTCGTTTGTTCGGTATTTATGTATCTCCTCGCATCCGAAAGTACTGTATATGATATTATCACATATAATCATAATCATGGAAGTAAATAGCTGTGTTTTTTGGTGCTAATAACTTCAACCAAATGACGTAYTAGAATCGTCATTACAGATGCCTTCGAAGATTAATAATAGTTTAAAAGCCCTTCGTGGATTATAAGGACCTTATAGCCTGTAGCTAGGTGTTTTGACATATTTTAAAGAACCAAGTCTTTCACTGTCGAACGTGTTCCCCAACGTAGTGGTCAGCCCGGTAACCCAAACCTACAAGGAMTAACTCAACTGCCAATATAGATTTGAAGCAAAGATTTTGCTATTGATTAAAAGAAAAAAATTGTAACAGTACCTTTAAAAAGTACATTCTGCGAAATCGTTCAACAAAGTTTGCACCYTCAAACTCATTTGCCACTTTGGAGACATTACTTAGGAAAAATTATGAGGCTTTTACGGTGTACTTGGCTATTTTGAATTTATTTAGCGCAATTTGTTAATGTCATGTTTTCTAATATCCATTTTAATGGTGAAAATATCATATTCCCTAAAGCACCAGGTTAACTTTTTTTGAGAATGACCGTGTTAATTATATATGTTCATCGATACGARTGTGTTACATTTACTAGTTTTCTAATTTATTTTAAGAATGCATTGTTGCAATTACTCAACTTAATGCACAATACTTTTACTGCACTAATTTAAGGTTAAGCAAATATTTTAGAGTCCTAAGTACCTAGCTCAGCGTGCGCCAGCAAAGTAGGTCAGTCGGCAGTTTCTTTCTATTTATGTTTTGATATTCTTTATTTTCGTGGTTTTACGCAATATAAAGGATTGCCTGCTTCTTATGCACCTTGACAACCTGGCAGAGAGCAAAATATTATATATGTATACATAGTCGAGCGCAACAATAAAGCACTGTGTTTACTTAAATTTCAGAAAAACGTCCACTGAAGTCGCAGGTGGCCTCGCCCATATTTCGCAGCCCCTCAGCGCGCTTACTGCAACGCGACTACAGCAGTCTTGCGGACACGGAGCGCGCTGGCACATTGAGCAGCGGGAGCGTGATTGGCGGCATCACGAACAGCTCAACACTGAGCAGCGCCGACGGCATCTCCAGTCTGGGCTCATTGGTCGGAAACAGCAGTATTGGAAGTGTTGGTGGCATTGGCGTTGGCGCTGGCAACGAAGTGTTGCACTACACATTTAGGCCAAGCAAACAATTGGTGAGTAACAGACGATAACCTTTAGTTACTCTCAAACGAACCAGCTAGCTATTGCCCTTGTATATCCCCTGCGCGCGCCACTTCTACCCACATGCTTACATAAGTCTATGGCGAGAATAAGAAAGCACAGAGAGCAGTAGGTGCAGTGACACGAAAACTAAAAAATTGTCATCACATAATAATGAAAGTAAACATTGCAACATTGCAACATTGCTGCAAATAACAAACTATAAAGAATGCACACTAAACCAATACCACACACACACACACCTACATATACATTACGATAATTACTTCTCATGCATGCAAATTCAGGGTAGCGCTAAACAGCTCGTCATCAACAAATGCTTCAGGGATTCAGGGGAATTCGCCGCACTGTCGCACCACATTGCCGCTCCACGATTTCCTCGCCTACTCGCCCGGCAGCCTACTTTTCACAAGCGATTGCAAGTAGCATAAAAATTTCAGCAACGAGGACAATGTCAGAGTATWTGCGCGTAGCTATATATGTGGTTAGGATTAAAATCGTGCCGCGTAGGCAAGACTGCCGCTGGATAGAGGCAGAGAACATAATAYGACGAGAAGTGACACACATTTCTGCGCTGCAGTTCCTTTGTAGTTGCAAGGATAATCGTTCAAATGTAAATAAAAGGCTTTCCATGAACCAATATTTCGTCACAGACCTACATTTCAATGTAGATGCGGCCATTTCAGCAGAGCGCTTAAAACAGAAGACACAGACAAACGCGGGGATATTGTTGCAAAACGACAGTTTTTTTTTTGGTTTTTGTAGTGACGGAGGTGGCGATTATTGTTCATGAGGGACAATTGTTTTTGAAAAGACCATGAATATATCGTAGGGCTTCAACTCACAATATCGGTCATTATCAGTGGAGCCTTTGTTATGAAAGRGAACAAATAATGCAAAATTGAATATTCTTAAATAAAATTTTCCACAATTAAAGGTGGAGATTCGCAAAACTAATAATAGAATACATGCGTACATACATACAATTCTAATAAAAAAAAACACACATTTCTTCTTCTTTTTTTTACATCATACCTGTCCTCCATCCATGCACCACACGCTTTCATGAACTTGCACCGTTCCATCTGCTCACCAAAATTCAATCTCATCATAAATGCGGACACAGAGTTATGCAACGTTGAATAAGAAGGGTATAACCACGTGTAGTCCACCGCTGAACATCTCGCTTTATAATACAACAACTACAGCAACATCATCGCTATCCTCAACATATCACTCGACGCCACAGCCACAGCCAATGGAAGTGAGTTTGCTCAGTCCAAATAATCCGTCGGTGACTTCGTCGCTGAGCGAATATCGATTTCGGCCGGAAGTGGTAACCACATCGAATCGCATCCAGGAAAGTTGTATATAAATAGATAAAAACGAAAAATAACACACGTATGACTATAAATAAAATATGTTGTGTATGTATAAATGTTGTGTATATATTAAGTATTATATATATATATATATGTATGAGTATTGATGGATGGACTAAAATAGACTGACGTAAATTAATAATTTGTTCTTCGACGTCCATTTTTAAATGTGGTTTAAACATCCGCATCTGTGCGAGCGCAGCTTTGGTGATTTTATTTTCTTTATTCGTAACAAATGCTGGCACACACATACCATACATATGCACATGCATATGTAACCTGTATTATTTACCGAAGGTTGTTTACTCGTGTTTGTACTGCGGCTGTTGTTGCGGCAAATGAGCAACATACCAAGTGACAAAATAAATACCGCTATTTTGCAATAAACATTTGCCCGATTTAACGGAACAGCYAACAGTTTTTACAGCCAAGCACTTTGAAAGCACACACACTTTTMAAATTGAACCACCGCGATGTCCTACAAAAAGCAGAAAATCGGTTTAACCCATTTTTCGCATTTGAATAATAAAGTTTATTATAAAGCTCTCGTCTTTAAAAGGTGTTGCTCACTTATGCTTTATGTGTATGATACACTTTGTTGKTTTTGCACGAAATTAAAGGCTTTATTTGGCATCGTTAGATTTATCTGACTTTTGTCAAATATGACAGCTTAGTTCGCTAACTTGTTAGCAGTTCAGAGATAATTAACAATAAATAACAATCCCACACTCATGGAAACCCTCGTTCTCCCGGGCAAAACCCTGGGACAGTCGATTTTCATAAGCTCGTCTTAAGGTAATTTTTTCAACAACAAAACCATTTGCCAATTGTTGGCACAGGTTATTAGATCAGGTCCAAACCGTAAAGACGATGCGTAGGTTTCAACCGACCAAGCTCCCGGAACTTCTGGCGAATCAGTGTCAATGTGTAAAGCAAGACACTGCCTTGAAGAAACGCAATTCCTATTGGCCTAAGATGGCGGCTTTTGATTGCTGACTTCAAAKGTTGGCAGAGAGTAGTAGAGGTCCGACTTACCGTCGTATGAAAGGAGCTCATTGTAGATAATTCCATATTAGAGGAAATATTCCTGAAAGCCAATCCTGGTTTTACCACGACTGTTTCACTTCACGTTGTCATAAGTTACCTATTTTTCATCACAAGTAACCAGTCGCTTCGGAAGTGAATCGGGTTTGTTGCGATACAGCACATATTCTCAGATCGAACTTCGGTCCATGAGATTTTTTTGCCCCAACTCGTGCTGCACCTATACATCGAGCTTCTTTTTATATTCAAATGGTATCCTGCAATTTTATTATTTTTTTTTTTTTTGTGCATTGTTCAGCTCATATACAATCAAAAATTGTTTATCCGATGATTTGCATTATTGAATCGATCTACAATAGGCTTTCCATAGAATGGCATCAGAACTATCCGAACTTAATCGACAAACCTACAATTTCGCATGATTGATTTTGCAGTATATTTTCAGCCAGTTGMCTTTCAATTTCGACTTTATCAACGAAAAACTATAAAATTTGGTAAAATACAGCACAAGATTCAGATTCAAAAGCTAATTTGCTAGACTTAATATTTTCAATGGGCAGTATTTAAGGCTCATATAAAGCTTAGGAGGTAACAAGGCACGAAATCGCATAAGTGTATCCCTCATTTCATTATCAATAGCTGACAAGTACAAAATGGAGTTGTGTGCCTCCGTAATCCGAAAGGATGACATTCTAAGACAACGGAATCCACTTGCGCTCTAAACTTCACATAAAACAGCAAATGTCGAAAGCTCTTCGAATATTGTCAAAATTACACGCCTCTAAAATTTTCATTTCGCAATTTAGTGGAGGAAAATTGCTCCCGGGCAAATTAATATGTRTTTTTACGAATACTCAATGAAAGGTGTTTAGTGCTTTCCGTTAATCAATCGCCATTAAAGCAAAATAAATAAGCCATGCATAATTTATTAATATGCAAATAGCCAATATTGGCGAACTCAGCTCGAAAAGCTCTGCAATGCAAACAGAATTAGTTCATAATGTGTCGACTAACAACTTTGTACGTGTGTCTGTGCATATGTAAGCCCGATATTCAATTAAGCTAATACAAACTGCCAATTTGTGTTTAACCAACAACAATAACAAATAATACGAGAAAGCGTTTAGTGAAAGCTTTTAAATACAAATTGCAAATATCAAAAACAAAACAAAAAAAAACAATAATAATGAAGCTGTATTTGCTTATGTATTTTCACTACAATGTACATATATATGAATAATATATGTGTGTGTGTGTATGTGTGCGTTCAGTTATCCTGGCAGCGCTGCTATGCTTAGTTACCGGTATGCTCGCTCATTGCCGTTTACATATGTATAAGTGTGTGTGTGTGTGTGTGTGTGTCAACCTATTTATGTATATATGTAAATATAATTAATTAATTATTGTTTTTAACCGAATTTTAATTATAATGAAGCGAAAAATGCACTGTCATTTTGTATTTTGCGCAGCCAAGCATTTCAATTAAATAATAATTATATAAAATACCACAAAAATAGATGTATAAAGAGGCAGGTTAAAATAAATACCTTTGGAAGATTCCAAATAGTTTAATAGCAGAATGAAAGAGAGAAGGGAACGAAGAACATTCTTCAATTATTTCCATAGGAAATTTGTACATATCAACCATTTGATTTTAATAACTGTACTTTAACTTCAACCGCCACACATATTTTCAGCCGCACACACTTTCATATCACATTTACACACAAAAACAAATACTAATTTATATTAACTGCAATGGAAGTCGTTAAGGCAGCTCCCTTCAACCCCCACAAGCCATTTATCAAGAGTCTTAACATATCATATTTGCATATTAAAACATTAACATGCGTTCAAACTGCTCTTTGTACCGTCAAAGTAGGAATTTTACAGACAATTGTTTTCTAAGCTAAAATTGCGTTTCTTTTAAGTGATTTCTCTTTTAATTAATGCTAGAAGCAAATTTTTATGTACTAGTATTTTTCAAATAAAAATAATTTTAAAATTTTTGAAGATACATATATCACTTGGAATGTTATTCGAACCTAACTCCTTGAATGTGTACCTCTAAACTCAACATATCATTCACATTTTTAACAAAAAACAAAAGCTTAGTCCTACGAATTACATAACCAGCAAAGCATCCTCGGTACTTTGTACYTATATTTGACTTCTTCCCATACTCATGTCAAGAAAAATGTCCGCTTRTTAATAATATCTTATGTGGCACCACACAAAGTGACTTCCACACGCAGATTTTTATACAGCGAAGTGAACAAACTATGCCACATACTCGTATAAACGGTAACACTTGTGGTGCAACCCTGCGCTAACTTCTGTAATGATTCTTTTTTTTATTTTTTTTTTTTTGTTTTTTTTTTTGTGGAAAACTTCTTCTCTTAGCTTTAAAACATTTATTTTTGTTTTCTATAAATGACGATTACCTATTGAATGAACTCATAGAAAGTTTGAAAAGTCTGTAACCGTTTTAATGCGGATAGACAGGTTCTTTCTTTCTTCTTTCTTTAAGGTAGAGTTGTGAATGGTTTTGAGAAGAAATATGTTAAAAGTTTCAAAGTTTTCATATCCTCTAATAATATTATATGCTTATTGGCGTAGACTCCACTTACGCGGCTATAGCATTCAAGGCTGTTTTGTACTTTTCATTGGGAGTTTTTTACGTGGCGGGTCCCAAACCCAGCGCATAACCTCCAGAGGTCGAGAGCTGCTCCAAGCCATATGTAAAAAAATCGTTTCTGTCCACTCGCAAGTGCATGGCGTTCAGAGAACTTTCCTCACTTCAAAAAAAAATATTATTAAATGCGTGATGAAAAACTACAACTCTACGTACTTGTTAAATGGTTAGTTTGGTGTTAACTTGGTTCTTTCGCGCACTTCTCCTTAAAAGGTCTGCTGTCATTACAAAATAGTCCAAAATAATTTCTGGCAAATTCAATAACCAAGAGGAAAGCTTATAATACTTTATAATAAGGTATAATTCCACCTTGGTGTGTTGCCTGGCATCGCCAACTATGCCTTGCCTTCAAACATCATATAAATCCTTTCTATAACAGAAACATTCTACTTACAAAATAATAATTATCGAAATTTATAAAAAAAAAAATCTCTAAATTAAAGTGATTAATTACTCGTAAATTTTGCAGCCATTCAATTTTTGATTACATTTTATAACAAAAACAAATTTAGCCTCGAAATTTAAATTACTTCAGGAATTTATATTTTTCCCAAACCCTTCACATATCTAAACATATCCATAGTACGTACAAATAGGTCGAGTGTGCTTCTATTATTATTCTTCGCCTAATGAAAATGCATTCTTATAAATTGCTTTAGTAAATGCAAYTAATGATTTCATGCTAAAGTATGTATGTAGATAAGCACTTGTTAAAGTTGCCACACTTTTTTTTTAATTTTCCCTGCACAATAATGAATTCATGAAATAACTCGAGTTTTATGAAAACACAACATGCCTTCCATTCAGAATATTGAATTAGAAAATAAAGTAAGGAAAAGCGCTTTAATAAAACAAAAAGCCCGATTTTCAGCAAAGCTTTGTCATTGCCTTTATTTGAACTGTTTATTTTACTGAATTCTCGCTTTTTTAGTGAAATCATTGCATTATTGCCTTTGATATTTTKTCGATGTTGTAATATATGGTATAAAGATATGCCTCGAGCTTTTATGAAGTATGCCAAAATATGTATTGCTTATAATAGAATGTTTAGATTTGCACATGAAAATTAAAATTTTCCGCACAGAGAGATTTTGATTTCMTAAAACATATGCAAATTCTAGTTTTATGATTTTAATTTTGCGTGAAATTTTGTAATATTTTTGTTGAATCTATTTTTGCCAACAGGAACCTTATTTCCCTASCCAGTTTAGGAAATTTCAGGAGTCTCATCTGTAGTTACAAACAAATCACACAAGTACTCACACATATTTAGCCACAAACATATCTAGCGGATTTTGCTTTTTACCAATTTTTAAGAGCGCGATAACGGTTGTTAGACATGGGTATATGGTGAAAATGCGAGTGCTAGCTGTTATTGGTTTAAATAATCCTGAATTTATGTATTTAAATATTTTACTGTTTTTCGTGTAAATAGGAGAATATGTGTAGATGTGTATATATAGCGAAGTGAATGGTTATTTGTACATTTGCATATGTGCGTGAGTGCGTGTGTAGCTGTACTAGATACATATACAAATATTTATAAATACCGAAAGTATTAATTTCGTTAGTGAAACGAATAGGCAATAAAATGAGTTTCTAACTGTTGTTGCAACAGTGGGATTGCGCATCCAAACAAGCGGCATGCCAATTAAGGCGCCAGCATATTGCTGTAAATAGCAAGCGCTTGCAAACGCCCGTCCTTCGCGGTGGCAGCCAAATTTGCGCCGTTTGTACAAAAGCTAATTTATTTACTATTTATTTTGTGGTTGCAAGCGCAACCACTAAGTGATATATATTGCGCGCTGCAACGGTAAAAACGCAAATCTGAATTTTTTACTTTGTTAACATTGTATGTATTGTAAAATGAAGCTTAAAAAGTTTGACAAATAACTGTAAATACTATGTATGYGCGGACGCGTTGAAAGCATTTCACATTAAATTAATTAGAATCGAAAGTCCGGCAGCGTGAGTAGCAAAGTTACATAGCAAACGCGGTTTGTACAAACTGTTTGTAAGATAGCACGGRCTTAGCCCTTGCCGTGCTCGTGCATTATGTAAACAAATATCTGTCATTGTGTGTGTTAGCTGTACATAAGTATGATCAACTTCACAGTTATGGAACTTAAGGCATTCGTAAATGCATACTACTTGAGCATACGGTACCCTTAGTACATACATATACATATATSTATGTATATCAATGTGAGCTATTGTATTTATATTGTACTTATGTATGTATCTGTATGCGTGAGACTAACTTTGCAAATGCTTTAGTTTTAGTTATAAACAACTCCTAAGCTAAATGAGCCAAGTAAATGTATGAAGAGAGAATTATATGTTATATAAATAGGATTATATTCTAGACTAAGCATATATATATACATACATATTATAGATAAATGCAGTTATATATAATTTTGTATAAATTAATGGGAGTAAATGAAATATTAATTGTTATTTATAGCTCAGATCRTCTAATAGGAGAAGTAGGAAACGTACCACTGTATTTATTATTTGCATTGTAATTAGAAGTATACAGTTAGGCGTAAATATTTAAAYGAGAAGTAACACAATTATAGCAAAAATAATGAGTTAGCAGGTATAAAGTTAATGTTATAAGGAGAAAAGWATAAATAAATAAGAAATATATGCGAAAATAAATGTGTTTTAATTCAGAAAAWGGCGGAAAATTGAGAAAAATTGAGAAAAATAGCAGGCGGATCAAGAAAAAAATGTATGTGAAAGCACGAGGCATACATGGCTTTCTCTACAAAGGTAAGTTTCACTGCAATGAAAGCATATTTTTCGTATTTAATTAAATATTTAAAAAAAAATTATGTATGTGCGAATAATAACTGCAAAAAAAATAAATATCTAAAATCTAAGTCCTTTCCTTTATCAAATAAATATATGTATGGCCCCTCTCAGCACGCTGTTCAGTTTACTGTAAGTTCCCGATAAGATTTGTCTAAACTTTCTGGTAGCTTTTCACAACTTTTCTGCCAACCAACCACTCTGCCACTCTGCCACTCTGCTTCGTCCTTACCGCTCCACTAGTATGCAAGTCGTGCGCTTGCTGCGCGATTTCTGTGTCAACCCCACTGCACAGCATTTCATCAGCAGGCATTTGCAGTCGGACGAGTTGTCGGCGCAGCCATACTTTTCACTTTATACTTTCCAAAATAAGTTTTCTACGCTTGGCTAAATCCATATCCCATTGGTGTGAATAACTTTCTTACATAATTACTCACGGTCTGCTAATCTTTGAGWTGACATGCTTTATGCACTCGAGACGTCATAATAATACGTTCACTTGTCCAATTGTTACACCCGTCAACCGCGGACGACGTACTTTCATATATATGTAYATACATACATATATAACCGGGCATATATTCCACTCTCTCTCTCTTGGCGTTGTATGGGAGTGAGTGTGAGCATACAATTACCCTTGGCCAACTGCAGTTCTCGCTGCAACTCTCTTCTGCCCACAAGCACAGAGTTTGAAAAATTGTGCACTCGCAGGTCTTCTTCTGTTGTCATCTGGGATTTTGATAACTTTCGTCGAGTTTGCTGAGAGCTGATAATAACGGTATATAAATTAGAAGAAAATTAGTTTAATTTCTTTTTAACGAGGAATTGTCTATTCTGTAGTTAGGGGTAGTCAAGGTCATTTTTACTCCGAATATGTTAAATACACACATAGTTAGATATTATTTTCTAAACGAATCGGCCTAGTATGTTGTAAATCGGCCTATGTTGTAAAAATTCAAACGAAATTTAGAAAACCTCATATATAGATCTTCATATTTAATAATTTTTGTACATTTCAAGCGGTATTTGGATTTATAATAACACATTTTTGCGCGAATTTTGAAAATTAAAGAAAACATTACTAATTCTTTGTTTGGTTGGCTTGGTAAGTGTGGATTTCTCTACCATATCCTGCCAGAGTTATGAAGTTAAGGAAAGAAGGACCTAAGTACATATTAAATTTTTTGAATGGACCGTTTGCGCAACAAGAAGGAAGAGTTTATTTCTTGTCAATGAATAACAYGAGTCGCAAAAAGGATTTGAAATACATTCAAAGTCGTTTATTAAATACTTATACCTATGGTCAGTCAGAGWTCATTTCCTTGAAATTAGCATCCAAAGAAATAGAAGAGCTCAAGYACCTTCTAGGTGGAGTTAAAGAAGCCTTAGAAAGCACATTATCTTTTAGAGGCTTCTCTTTGGTTGGTAACTCAGCAAAGTACCTTCCTTGTTGAAAAAGCCTTAAATATTAAAAAAAAAAAAAAAAATATTAACCTAATTTCTACGCAGAGAAAAATAAATGAGAAAGTTTGCCATAGGTATTATATCTTCATAACAGAAAACATAATAGATCAATGTTACCGAATTCGCTCCGATAGAATAATTGAAAACTTTTTTGAAACTGTCATTCCCTATTTCTGTATTCAATTGAAAAGTTCTGGGGGCATTGAAATTTAAATTGTCTCTTGTGTATTCACTTATCCGCGAGTATATAATTGAATGTATGTCCCTGAAAGATAATGTACATGTTGCCAACATTGCTAGGCGCCTGCTACAACAARAAATACGTGGGAAGAGCGATAATAAAATATCTACCAGCGAATCGCATTCTAATTACGCTAAAACGCATTAACACTCGCCATCAAATCGTCACACACACACACACACCCACACACATACAGACACACGTACTATACACACATTAAAAATGAATCACAACGGGCCACACAGCTTGTCCTAACGCGCGTGAGATGGCTTTTTATGCATTATTGTCCACCAACAGCACAACAAAAGGTGAATGCGGTTGCCAAAGGTGAACTCCGAGCCGCGACTGACGGTCGACCGCACGCTTTGGTTGGACCATTCACAGCGCGGTTATCGTGCCACAAAACACCATTCACCATTTAAACGCGGCGGTCGCACGAAGCACCCGTCGTCGGTCAGAGCCACTTTGAGCGCAGATTTATGCTCGCACCTTTTTTTCTTGTTGCTGCTTGGTCTGCGTTTTTGTTGTTTCACGCCATTATTTTTTGAAAGCAAAAGTTGTGCGGATGCCAGAAAAATTACAAGTTTCTAAATAAATGGAAAAAAAAATCGGTTTTTGTGTGTGTTGTATGTAGATTGTAGCACCTCGTAGCGACACGCTTCTGTTTTTGTTTGCACAGCTTGTTTTTGCATTTAATTTACGCCCAGCCACTGCTGGCTGAGACTGAGGCTGGCGCTGACCTCACCTCAAAACTTTTGGCCGTTATGATGCTACGAAATGGCTTTCGCCACAAGTTGAAACGTTTTGTAAAGAGGATTTGCAATCACGGTAATCATGACCATTAGCGAAACCGAACCTACAGGCGCGGCAGTCGCKGAATGAACGCTCGAATGCGGACTGRGTCACACTCACTCTCGCGCTGTCACAGCACACACGCGGCGCTTTCTGTTGCTTTGTATGTGTAGCAATTGCGGGATTCAGTGCCACCCGTCGGGGTAAGCGTATGGGTTACGCAACCCTTTAATTGCATCATTATTACCATTTCAAAAGTGTGTTAGAATTTCATTTGTCATAATTGTTTTTACTGGTCATCTTATTTCGCCCTGTCACTAAGTGGCATGCAAAAATTTTAGRTTATATTCGGTATTTCCATATGCTTAATGCGTTTTTATTTGCATTTTATTAAATATCAGAACACTTAAAATATACATAAAGACATRAATTTGCATTAGGTTAACTTGAAAATTTATGAAATTTATAAAACACTTGGGCAGAGAATATGCAAAGCCGCAAAAAACTTTCGAAATARATTTCATTTGCTGTTAGCTGTATACTAAAAAGCAGGCAAGATATTAAGCAAATATTTTATATAATGCTAAGAACCTTATAAATAGTTTCTATTGGTCGGGAACCAAGGCCTTTACTTAAAAAACGCTTGCTCAATAACTGGTAAGGGTAGTTCCTCCTTAGACCTCAGGGCACGATTGTTCAGTAATGTTTTGATAGTCTGATTCAGATAASCTCCCACGTCGGTATGCTATTCAAGATAAACAAATATTTTGTCTTAAGTGAACACAGTTCTCTAACCTAAACACCACATTTGTTTCTCAAATTGGCCGTCCCTTACACCGACCAGTACCTATCCTATCCTGGTATTATTGCAGGATTTAAATCCGTTCCTAAAATTTCCAATAAGATCCATCACTTTTTCTGCCAGCGCATTAGGTTAGGTTRTTAAGTTCGAACGGACGTCTCACTTTTATATGCCGAATACTTTTCAAGGATAGAAGTGAGATTCWGGTTGCAACCAGTAAATAGTGCGACCCTTATGTTCTGCGCACCCTCATAATACAAAAAGCAACTTTCCGTCAATTACATAAAGYTCGTTTTGGTCTCTTATGCTCTCAAGAAATGTAAAAACTTCATATAAAAAACGCTTAAGAAATGGTCAAGTGCTAGTATGCAGCTCTAAAGAAATCTAGTAATAATTTTTAATACCTTTTCAAAAAAATGCGAATATGGCAAACCTGGTTTTGCGAAGAAACAACAAATCAACCATTGTTTCTTGAAGGAAATTCAAAGAAATCGTTAAATGAGTTAAAATTATTATTATGACGTATATTTCATTTTGAAATGTTGTATAAAACTTACCAACCATCAACAACATTCCCTAAATCGCAATGAAAATATTTATGTTCCAATACACACATACATACATACGTATTACACACACAGTTTATTTTCTTTGCTTATTCTCTCTTGCTCTTCTAATGTGGATCACTCACAATGCGTAACCAGCTGCCAAAATTACTTGAAGAAATAATGTATTTTTTTCTTGAGCAATTACTTGAGAGCTGGATACGGACCTTTATATYATAACGTGGAAATCAAAGAGTCAAACAAACAAATTGTGCCTGCCAACTTGCAGCGCGGAAACTCGTGAACAACACCTTTAAGGCAAATAAAATGGCATTAAGAACTTAAAATAGAAAGGCTCATAAAATCGCTTCTAATCAAACAGTTATTACCCGATCAAATTATTGTGTCTTCGCGAGTGTTTATGTGTGTGCATACGATGTGCAAGTGTATAGAGAACAAACTTCGCTGGCGTGGCAGGATGTGCCTATTATTCACATGCAACATATGCATACCAAAGGCTTGCGCTGTTGAGGGGCCAGACATGCAACACTGATACGCCTRTGCTYGCTATTTCACTGCCARAGCTATAAATGGCGTGGCTTATTGCGRAGCTTTTCGCTWTGTGTTTCGTTGCACGAACTCAAGCAACTGTGCACTTGAGCAAGCGGTTGCTGGTGTAAGTGAATTGTGGCGCATGTCATAAAATATAATTTCCAATTGTTTTTGCCGCTGCCAGGTCTTTATTGTGGCAACACTTGTCGGCTGCCTCCACGGCGTATGCTTCCGCAACTCTTTCGACCTGCACAGTTACGTCAACAGTTATGTTTGTATGCACATAGACATCCGTATGTGAGTAAATTGGAATGCATGCCGCCTCATATTGTCAGCTTTCATTAAAAGTCATGTATGCTCGCGTGAAGCAATTATTCTTGCGCCTATTACTTGAGGTATATTCCCGTTACGTTCAATC